ACTACAGACATTCATCAACAACTGCCGCCTACACTGGCTCGTTACTCAAGCTCAGATCAGATGGCCAGAATAATAACAATAAGCAACAAGGAACTCATTCCGGCAACGAGCCAACCAACAACCTACCACTCAACAAATATGCAGAAGAAGAGAGTGGAAGTGTAGATGGATTGGGCATACACTGAGAAGGCCGACTGGGGATATCACGCGTTAGGCCGTCTAGTGGAACCCAGATGGGAAGCGACGAGTTGGGTGTCCGAGGTGAGGGTGATATGGAGGAGATAATATGAAGAAGAAATGAGAGGTTGTGGGTTGTCGTAGAACCAGCTTCAACAGTTTGCAGAGTACAGAGTGAAATGACGACATGCTGGTCAAGCCCTATGTTTCATTAGGAACTCATAGGAGAAATAATAATAATAATAGCTTCTACAATTAAGAATCCATACTCATTATATTTCAGTGTTCTCTCCGTAGCCAGAAAGAATGAGGCATTCAACCAATCAATTTTGAATATCCTTCCGCCTTTGTTGTCATTTTCTGATATTCTGATCAGGTCGCCTAGGCTTTAAGGCTTTGTGTACTTCTTATATATCGTGCTTAATCTAGATACGGGTGCATTCCGTCGTCTGATCATCTAATCTCATCTTTGTTGTGATATTAGTGACTGTAACATCAAGTCGAGGAATAATACTAGTCACAACTAGAGGTTAGATATTCCCTTCAATCTCCGACGCATAGGAATCAATAGGAAACCCAAACCCAGATTAAAACCGGGACATCTAGCAAACAAATTATGCATTTAATTTTAGTAGAATATAAGCCCAACTTCCCAAGTATTAAATGGCATCTTTGAAAACAAGACTTTTCCCTGCATTAAATCTTTGTTTCCTGACATCAAGTACTTGAAAGCATTTGAACTGCATGATATTTTGCGTCAGTATCAACTCAAAGTTGAAAACTGAAAAGATACTTGAAATATCTCAGTGAAAGTGGATAAGATTCCCAGTTTGTGTTATGTTATTGGTGATTTTATGTTACCAGTATTAATCAGTAGTATATATCGTACATTTCTTTTGTTTTCTTATAAACAACATTCTTGGTTTGGAAGAGGTCATAATTTTTTTGTCTTCATTAAACATACCACTGTCAAACGAATCTCGAGGATATGTTGAAATTTTTCCAAATGGCCCCTAACTGTGATGTCACAGGGTTTTCGTTGGAAACTACTAGTCAGTCTAGATAACAAAATGTGATCTCTGGTAAAAATATACTACTTTTAAACAAGTTCAGTAGTTACAAACCACTTGGGCTGATCTATGGAACTGAAGAAACCTTGTTCATTTCATAGATGAGTAATTTTCCAACTCTTCAACTGTAAGAAATGCCACCATAGACCAGGTAATTTATAAACCTCCTGTAAATCGATCATTCTGTTTAAGGTATACTGGACCATGCAAGTTAGATATCGAGATTTAAGTGATCTGAACAATTGAGTATTATGAGTTGAATTTGTTTGGGTAGGCTGCTAATGAGCTGGATCGTCACACAAATTAGAGAAACCGTTGTCCGGTTAATTATTAAGATAAGTGTAAAACTTTGACACTTTGGTAAAATTTAGCTCCGTATTAGACTTATTTAGTCGATATACAGCACACTGTGATAAAGTATTATTTACTGGATGACGTTTCCACCATAAATTATCAGTGCTTATAATCACACCAGTGTAATCACACCACTTTAGGTATCTAATTTTTATGATCCTATCACCTTATACTCTTTGTTTTTATTAGCGGTGAAGTTTTCCATATCTGTGGTATAGGTGTTGCGTCATTCCAGTTACATGTAATGGTTGTGTATTGGTTGGTTGGATGAACAAACATTCAGTAATCAATCTCTCTCTGCCTCCTCACCCAATTAAACTGAACTTGAAAACAGTGGTATTATCCACCACTACATATTGATACATGCGTGGATTGCAATACGCAAGGTTCTCCCCTACGTTATTTATTCTATTGGGGTCTGTCATTCTATATTTAGATAAACTCCTATGTTCCGCTATTCAAGCTGATGCTGAATGTAAAGCTTAATGTTTCTGCCTAAACTGAATCACAGTCACTGCATGCGGTCTGATAGATTAGATCCTAAACAAAGCTGAAATTAGGGTGACATTGAAATCCACAAATTCACTCAGAGATAAGATTTCTCACCTGGCTTAAGGATTGGATAAAACCAACAGAGTAAAATAATATAATCTATCAAATTTCATATAGTGACTGTGAGTCACATCAAGTATATAGGTCAAACTAGTTGGTTGGGGTCAGTTAGATTAAAGGAATAGAAGTTTAGCTAAATATAGTATGACAAACCCCAAGCATTAGCACACAACCACATAATAGAATGGTGGATAAAACCACTCTACTCAAGTAAAATATGATTAAAGGGAAACGGAAAGAGCCAGAGACAGAGATGCAACCAACATATGTAATAGGAATGGCGCAACACACATACCACACATATGGAACGTTTTACTACTAATAGAAACAGAGAATATGAAGAGAGTGACATAGTTATAAAAATTGGATATCGAATGTAGTGTGATTACACTGATATGATGATGAGCGATAATAATTCATAGTCGAAACGTCATCCAGTAAATAACACTATATCACTGTATGCTGTAATATCAAATAGACAAGTCGAATATGGCATTGGATTTTAATTACTCTATTTTTTGACTAGTTTATCTGGTAGTTGTTTCCTTCTAACCTCAGACTGCTAACCTTGTTAACTCTTGCTTTGATTGTTTTTTACTAATACATTCCAGTAGTTGCCATGTTCATATGTGTTTTGAACAATTTAACCATCTTAGCTGAACTGATCCGAATACATTACTGTTCAGTTTGTCACCGAACATCTCTATGATGTTTAAACCACCCTAGTGTAGTAAGTAAGTACTGGACTGTTGATAACATGACGTTGTTTTACTCATTCCAACATTTTGTACGTGACTCAAGAAAGTTTGAGAAACTATACAGTATAAGGCAGTAACCTGTATAGATAACGTTCACTCGGTTCCATTGAATTGTTTCCTGAGTTCAGATTGAAATACTTAGATTTTTTTGCATACAGTATCCTCAAGCGGATAACTAAACAGATTTACCACATAGGTCTCTTCAAAATCTCAATCACCATGGAATATCAGAAAAAGAAATCAATCTAAAAAAAGGTTTTACAACACAATTACCAATCTCATTTCATTTATATAAGATGCTGTTGAATGTTCACGGTCAAAATTGTTCATAAGTAGGACCATAAGTTGTTGTCTATCTAGTCACAACGACGTTTCAATAAGGCGCGAAATCAATAAGAGAATCGTAATTCAGACAAAAAAGACAAATCAGTTGTTTGCATACTTGGAAAGCAGTAGAACCAGATGGAATTGTTCCAGAAGCCCTGAAAATGGACGCAGAGACAACAGTGCACGTGCTCAAACCACTATTGCAGAAGGTTTGGAAGGAAGGTAAGGTACCTGCCAATCGATCTGAAGAAGGACTAGCTTGTCAAACTCCCAAACAAGAGAGACCTAAGTCTTTGCAAGAACTGGTGACAAATCATGCTGCTGTCCATCCCAGGCAAACTATTAAGCCGCATCATCCTGAAAAGACTCATAAATGCTCTGAATTCAAGATTATGACCTCAATAGGCTTGATTCAGGAAGTGCAAATCATGTGCGGACCAAATTGCAGCGCAATGCTTATCATCATCATCGAACAGAGTATAGAATGGCAACCAACTCAACTACATCGACTTAGGAAAGGCCTTCGACAGCGTTGACTGAGAAGTAATTTGCCAGGCAGTTGATTCAACACTATGGTTTTAGTTTCACAAATCTTTATCAACCTCATTCAACAGCTATATGACGATGCCACATGCCAAGTGATTCACAATGGAAAGGTGAGTGACGACTTTGAAGTGAAGACAGGAGTAGGACAAGGTTGCCGCCTACTATCAACTATAATCTTCCTGATTGTGGCAGACTGCATCACGCAGACAACTGAGGAGCGAGAAGAGGGGCATACGCCGACTGGACCAATGAGAAGACCTTAGAAGATTTGGATTCCGCAGATGACGATTTATGTCTGATATCTTGTTGCACAAATTCGAAGATCTACAGGCGAGAACTAAAAAGTTAACAGAAGATGCTGAGCAGCGAAGACAAGACTTCCTTCAGGTGAACGTGGAGAAGATAGAGGTGATTAAGATACCCAACCAACAAAAACAGCATGAACAAGAAACACCAATCATCATTAACAGGAGAAACCTAAACGAAGTAGTTGCTTTCACCTACCTAGGCAGCATCGTTTCAACTACAGGCGGCACAGATGAAGATGTCAAAACCAGGGTCGGAAAAACAAGATAGGTCCTCATTAATTTGTAATCAGTGTAGAGATCTACTGCACTCATCATAAAGCGTGAACAGGATCCTGATTTTCAAAGCCAACGTCAAGTCAGTGGTTCAGAAACTTGGCGCGTCACGAAAAGCACTTCCAACAAACTACAGACATACATGAACAACTGCCAACTACGCTCACTCTACACTAAAGATCGATGAAATGGATGGCCAAAAAGAATCAGCAAGGAAGAACTCTGGTTGCAAGGAACCAACCAAGAACAAATATGCAGAAGAAAATGGAAGTGGAAGTGGACTGAGCATACACTGAGAAGGCCGATTCGGGATATCATCCGCCAGGTCACTGAGTGGAATCCAATGGGGAAACGACGAGTTGAGCTTCCGAGATGAGGGTGAAATGGAATAGATGATGTGAAGAAAAGACGAAAGCTTGTTGGCAGTCATAGAGTGAGGTTCAAAAGACTGGAGATGTGCTACTGAAGCTCTATATTCCACTAAGAACCTAAGGGAAAAATAATAATAATGATAATAATAGTAATACCTTGTGAGTTGGTCCAGTTTTTTTTTACTTTTTTTTTCTTTTACTAACCTGAAATTAAACTGGATACAATAAGCGGGATAATCAACATTTTCAGCATATTCATAAGTAATTCTCCAGGGAATGATATAAGATATATAGTTCTTGGCGATGGTGAAACATAAATTTTTATGATCAATCCAATTGTCATGCCCAATATAACAGCCAAGACAGTGAATGTAATGAATAGATTATCGATGTTTATCAACCATTTTTTAAGCTAAACAATGTAAGACAAAAGATAAAAATTATTATTATTAATGTTATTATTATTATTATTATTAGTAGTAGTAGTAGTAGTGGTAGGAGGAGGAGGAGGAGGAGGAGGAGAAGTAGTATTCCAGGTGCTGACAATTTGGATGGTAAGTAATATCTGTCACTCCTCTTTCAAATCGGTCAAGCGAAGAAGTTACTGTTCACTAATGTCAAACTTCTTATCTTCTCTGTACTGAATACAATTTATATGTCATCCAAACATACATCAGGAGAGATTCTCTTCATTGTATACTGGATGATGACAACACTTAAAGTTACCATATAATTTGATAACAATTTAATCTGTCCATTACGTTTCTTTAGAGCATTTTAATAATATAAAAAACAGTAGTAAATTTACAATGGAATATGAGGAAAAGATGAAAAGTTCAATTTCCTGGATATTACTATAAAACATAAGATAGATGGAATACTGTAGAGATACATTCATCGAAGGAAGACGTGGAATTCAAACAGGTTTTATTCAATTAACTATAAACAGGGATTAGTTATAACATCATTTTACAAAGATAAGGCAAAAATTGTACCATTAACCAGGCAGAGGAGACATCATGCTCAAATGAACACTCAAGAACAGAAAATAATAAAAAGACTGAAAAATAGGATAGATATCGTTATACTTTCAGCAGACAAAGAAGACTATATCAAGATGGCAGAGGAATTACTCAAAGACAAAAATGTGTATCAACTACAAGAAACTAGCCCTATGCAAAAGTTCGACAACCAGATAAATAAAACCTGTGAACAAACATTTCAAAGCAGAAGAAATAATGAAGCAAGACAAATGGTGTATGAAATCGAATAGACCTTTCCTTCCTCAATTCTGCCACAGACCAAAACCACACAAACCCGATATCCCTCTACCACCAGTAGTCTCACTTCCGGGAACCTCAACATACAACATATCAAGAGGACTTTCAAGAAAACTAAAACACCTCGTTCAATCATGCAGACATTCCATCAAGTCACCAACAGAATTCTTAGAAAAGACCGAAAATATTAACATAGAAAACGATGAATTAATGATATCCTTCGATATCACAGCACCATACACATCCATCGAACCTCAACTGACCAAGGAAACGATATCCCTACTGATCAATCAAGATACAAGCCTTACAGAACTCACAAAACTCAAATGTTCAAGTCTGATGGAACTCATCAACCTTTGTCTCACAACATACTTCCAATTCAATGACAAGATATACAAACAGATGAAAGGAACTCTAATGGGATCACCGATATCCGGATTCATTGCAGAAGCAGTGATGCTGCGACTAGAAGCCATCATCCTACCTATCATCAAACCAAAAATTTGGATTCGTTATGTAGACGACACTGTTGTCATCGTTAAAAAGGATGATGTAGAAAACACCCACAGTTTGATCAACAACCTTTTCAATGACATCAAATTCACAATGGAGAAAGAGTCAAACAACCAACTACCATTCCTGGATGTTTTAGCCAGCAAGACAAATGCCGGAAAGCTGGAAACCCAAGTGTACAGGAAGCCAACACACACTGACTGGTCAAATCCTCAACTACAATAGCAACAACCCAACAACACACAAGATCACTTGCGTGCAGACTCTATTCAAAAGAGCGAGAACACACTGCAGTACAACAACTTCACAGAGAAACGAACAAAATTACTTGATGTCCATCCCAAAGAAGAACGGCTGCCCACGAAACTTTATCAGAAGATGCCTATTCCATACATCATCAACTACAAAGTCATCGACATAAAGCAACAAAAGCATCATCCTCCCATATGTAAAGAATGTATCAGAAATGACGACAAGATTGCTGAGACCACTTGGAATTGGTGTGGCTGGCTCATAAACCAAGAAATCCCCTGAAAACACTATTATGCAGACCGCAGGATGCAACAAGAAAAGAAGACAAACCAAATATCATTTACCAAATCGACTGCAATGACTGTAGTCAACACTACATTGGACAAAGCAGCCACCCTCTTCTCCTTCGTCTACATGAACACCAATTGGCTATTAAACGCCACGACATTTCATCACTCATTTCAATCCACGTGGATAACAACTATGGACATGAATTCAATACCGACAATGTATAAATTTTGGATGGACAGAAGAAACACAAAGAATGTCAGAGAATTCCTAGAAGCTTGACATTCAGGTCGGTTAGTCAGTCAGCAGTCAACAGATGTATAGACATAGACCCAATCTATCAACCAACAAGAAAAGTGATAAACGACAGAGAGGTCAGATGGGAAGCAGAGGAACAGCCAATAGGAAAGTCTATGCAGTCAGTGAATGACACAACAATCGAAGGAAACAACCAGTGACAGACCACATGGTCAGAGCAAGCCACTGAATCACTCACTAATGGAGAGATATTGACAGCTCACTACTTCATACTGAAGTTAGTGCTGATGATGTCGTCTAGCAAGGCGATGAAAGCTTCACGATTAAACAACCCATCTCAGAGACCACAATACAACCAAGTGAAAATGATATCCTGGTCTTCAGTCCAGTTGAAAGTCGATACGTGCCCTTTCTATGTTACTTTAGACTGTGTATATCAATTTACATGTAACTCACACATAGAAAGAATAGGAAGATGGGAGTAACTTAGATTTCCTGAACATATTCCTAATAGTTTATGTCTGAGAGGGAAGTAACTCTTTCAACACTGGACAACAAGCAGATGTTTTCAATAAACAACCAAATGAGCTCCATTCTATTGAAGTTTGTCGAAACTATAGCCATTAAACGCCTAAAATGAAGTTATAGTCAGCCTATCTTTACCAATAGTAACCCTTCCTGACTGTTGTCTGATAACATCATCTTTTATTGACGTTAGATGGTTAATTATTCACTCTTATTCATTTCCACCATCTATCAATATGTGTCAACCTTCGGTACTGTAGCGGAGTTTGATTCCATATTCGATTTGTCTATTTGATATTACAGCATACAGTGATATAGTGTTATTTACTGGATGACGTTTCGACTATAAATTATTATCGCTCATCATCATATCAGTGTAATCACACTACATTCGATATCCAATTTTTATAACTATGTCACTCTCTTCATATTCTCTGTTTCTATTAGTAGTAAAACGTTCCATATGTGTGGTATGGGTGTTGCGTCATTCCTATTACATGTGTTGGTTGCATCTCTGTCTGTGGCTCTTTCCGTTTCCACGTAATCATATTTTACTTGAGTAGAGTGGTTTTATCCACCATTCTATTATGTGGTTGTGTGGTAACGCGTGCGTGGATTGGAACAGCCAAGTAGTTTTGTTATCTATCGACCTTCTCGGGTTCAGTCACTCTGTATTTGGCTAAATCCCTGTGTTCCGGTATCATCTGATGGTCTAGTCTGACCTATATACTTGGTCTGACTCACAGCCAATGTGTGAGACTACATAGATTTGTTTATTCTACTCTGTTGGTTCTATGGAATCCTTAAGCCAGGCGAGAGAACGTATCTCTGAGTGAAGTTGTGGATTTTAATGTCGCTCTAATTCTAATGTTCCTTCCTTATAGAGTAACACAGTACAAACTCTGAACTTTTATCTTCTCGTATTGTCATTATTATTTGTACTCGTGTTAGTGTTATTATTTCGTTTCTTATACATTCATGCGACAAAATCATTACACAATATGCTGTACAAAACACATGATCTATTACCAAAAGAAGACAGAACAAATGGAATCTACAAAATCATATACAAAATGTTGTTCACAACAATATGTTGACTAGTCTAACTGTCGAACTGCTCAAAGAACTCATTAACACCAACTAGAAGTAAAGCGACATGATGCGGCCTCCTTGGTTTCAATGCCTGTAGACAATCACGATCACAAATTTGACTTAGAGAGTATAGAAATCCTCTAGAGATTAAGTCCCAAAGTTGCGAGTGAAATTCTAGAAGTATAACATTCAAATGAAATGTTAATCAACAGACATGTGAATATACACACAATCTACAATCTACTTAGGTAGAAGAAAACATTTGTCTATCAACCGAAAGCAAATTGATGAAGTAAAGTAATAATGATAGACAATATGACAGTAACAAATGATACAATTTCACTACCAATGTGACCGAAGGAAATTTAAGATTAATAGAATTTTCCTCCCCAACTTACGAATGGACAACATGCGAGGTCAATAAAGAAATACTATTTAAACATTTGTGTAATATTCAATTATCTTTCACTTTTCTATGAAATTAGTGCTGATGATGTTGGTAAGCTTATTGATGAAACGTTCACAACAAAATATCAGAGTTCAAAAAACACCAAACCACCATCAACTAGGAAAGTGTGGGAAAGATTGACTATTTTTCATCCACTTATAAACTTTCTATACCAAGAATATTCACCTAACAGTCAGATGAATGATCAATCTTCTACTCACACTGCTAACCACTTCCCCCTATACGTTATCACCTGATCTTATGAGGAAATTCTTCGAAATAGTATAGATGAGCTCATATTATCCTGCTACACTTGATTTTATATAGTTCAAGATATCAGATGACTTCTGTCATCGGTTTCGACCTAACTGATACTAAAAATTTCATGTATCTCACAGATTATCAATCTTCAAAATACAGGTTTGTTTTACAGCTGGATGATCTTTCAGACACTTATTACCATTAAGTTAATTTCTGAAATGAATTAAAATCACCTAGGTGAACTATGAAGAACAAGAGATTTCTCTGAGTAGTTATGAAATCAGCCAGGCCGAAAATGTAGATAAATGCCTACAGAAAACACAATACGATCTTAGAATATCTCCCTGGAACAGGTAGAAGTTTGAAAATATGAGCAACTTGATTGCAACTTAAGGATTAAGTGGTTGGGTGATGGAGATTCTGTCGTATTGGGTACTGGGTGCACACTGTCCACCAGTTCCAAAGTAGAACAGATTGCTTTTCAAATGTTTTCTG